TATTAATATTACATATTTAATTAAATTAAATAATGTTCTTAAAAGGTTATTTCATATGTAAGAAATGAATATGTAAAGTTTCTTGGATGCTAAAAGATGAAATCTGTGGAGTCAAATGATGGATTTATTTATCCATAATTTTAAAGAGTGGATTTAAATTGAGTTTTGAAATAATTGCCAACACAAATTTTTATAAGAATTCTTTATTACTAAGTTTTATGATTTTATTTAAATGTATTTAAAAATGAAAGAAAATCAATAGATTAGGAGAATATAGATTTTTCTAAATTTACATCTATTTATGGATACTCACTTTTGTTCCCAAATTGTTATTGAATTTTCACGTTCAAACTAATCGATTTTATCGTTTTAAAAAAATTAATAACGTAACTATTTTTACGTTAAATTGTATGTTTATTTTTATTTTAAAAATGTATAAAAATTCCTTGAAAACTTTTAATATTACAACAATAATAAATTGTTCCGAAGAGAATTCGCCTAACTCTGAAACAGTAAGGTAAACGTTTATTGTGGTAATGTCGCTTAAAAACTAGACAACCGATTAAATTCTGAAAATTGATTAATTATCGATCTCTAGAGAGTAAAATTTGTCATAGAAGTATAACTAAACACAATATACAAGCTTAGGTAATTACCGATATGTGGTCCAATGGACTTTATTGCCTCTGGGGTGACATTTCATGAATTACAGAGTACCACGCTCGAGTCCATTGGTGTGAGCCACCATCCTGTAATACAGTTTACAACTGGTGTGGAAAGCTATTTATCACATTGAAACATTTCTGTATCATTGTGATAATGTTTACTTTTCACAGACCATATCTTTGGGTAAGGGCGTGTATCTAACATTATAATATAATTACAGTATTACCGTACATTTCACTATATTTTCTACAACATCTTCCATAGTTTCTCGCTTGCAACACGATATCTTAACGACTAAGATAATAGTTCTTTTTATTATCTTTAATACATGGAGAGAACTTTTATTGTTTCAAGATACTTTGCGGATAAGGTAGGAAATTACATTAGCAAACACTAAATATAATCATTATTATCTCCTCTTTATATTTATGAATTAAACATTTTGTTTATGTAGGATCATACGCGATCAGACGTTAATTAAATAGAACTTAATATTTTTAAAATGAAGAAAGGAACTTCGAAAAATTTTATTTTATTCTACTGTAAAATTAAGAATTTAAAGTTCGTTTACGTGTTTTAAGTGTTAATTAAAACTAAAGTTTAGCTGATTGTCTCACATAACTTACGTAATAAAAGTATGAAATAAAAAATAAGTATATTTTTAATAAACCTTACAGTAATAAAACAAATATGTCATTATGAAACTATCATCACTTCAAATTGAATAAAAATAAATATGATATAACAAATTTAGTCATCTTTTAAGACATTTAAACAAAAACTTATTTATAAATGCATTAAAAACATTTCATAAATTAATATGGTGAAGTTTTACATTGTTTACAGGATTATAACATTACTGTATTTAATGCTATATATTGCATTGGATAAATGGGAAATACAGCGATACCTCAGTTTTTGTTGACTTTGGTTATCGTTGGTTTCGATTTTTGTCAATTTTTTTCCACAAAAAACTTGTCTCAGTTATCGTCGGTTGCTGCAAATTTTGTCAGTGTGCCCACATGATCTCGCTGCTAATTTTGTGAAAATAAAGGGCAACCCACGCATTTTCCTGCACAGTGTGGTGTTATTTCTCATGAGCATTACCCTGTGTGACTAACCAAACAATTCCATTGCTTTCCTTTCCTTTTAGCTCCATCATGGGACCAAAGAAAATTTCCAGAGCCAACAGCCCTTCAAATGCCATGTTAAATGTTCATTTATTCTTTACATTAGCCTTTTATATTCATTTTATATTAATTTCTTATTGTTTTTAGTATTAAACATTATACAGGGCAGGGGTGGACAACAGTTTTTGCCCCCAGGCCGAATTGGAAAGAAAACTTTTTCCACGGGCCGAACCAGAGACTGCCCTAAGATTTTGAGGTGGTGCGAGATCTCATTATGGTGTCACCCTGTAGAGACTAAATTGTAGATAGAGATTAGAGATACATTTTTCACATTATCATGCTTTATCAATATTCTACACTGTACTTATGAGATTTGTAATGGAGGGTTAACTCTAAATGCACAATGAGTTGTTGACGTCAGAATTTTTTATTGAGCTACTCAGACTTGAGTAGCTAATATTGAAAGATTGATCACGAGCCACATAAATTCATTAGATGGGCCGTATGTTGGCCATGCCTGATATAGGGTGTCCGAAAAGTCTCCATACAGTGACACAAATCAAGCTCACCAGTGGCTAAATAAATAAAACCATTGAACACTGGTAGTTGGAATGATCAACTACCAGTGTTCAATGGTTTTATTTTTAAGGTATTGGTTCATGCCTGACCAACCATGCACTGTTCTGGATTCAGTTTCCACATAGGAAGTCCTGCTAGAAGTTACCCCATTGGTAGATCATCCATATGTTCTGTTGTCTTATTCTGTCAATCCACTGACATAAATCTTAATACAGACATTTTAATGTTTTGTGAATAAAGTTACATTTCACCTTTGTATGTATGGAAACTTTTGAGACACCCTGTATTTATTCTCTATAAAATGTGTATTGATATGTATTTTAGAGTTTCTAGAACGAATTAATTGCAGGACTTAATGAAGCACATGCAGGAAAGATACTACTTCCATTTTTCAATACACACCACAGTTGAATTTAAATCAAATTAATTAATAAAAACAGCATGTAATAAAAATGGCATTCAAGAATGTGTGTTTAAAGGTGCTTAAGTCAAATTAATTAAGAAAAATTTATTATTTCTGATTAGTACATAATGTATTTAACAGATCTGGGGAACAGATTAATTCATTCAACTGTGACGTGTATTGAAAAATGGTAGTAGTATCTTTCTTATGGGAAAATTTGTTTAAGTTTTTAGAACAACTTTTAGGAACAAATTATGTTCAAAAACAAAGGTTTCACTGTATTGATAATTAGAGAAAAGATTTGAAGGTGCACCTTTCCAAACAGCACCTTTCCAAAAATAGAGCTGTTTTCATATAGATAGTTCAAGATATATATTTTAGGGCATGAAATGAAGCAACATGAACACGCCATGTTTCTTTTTGCGAGATTAGCACATTTCTCTCCCCTTTACCCTACTCTTTAACACTAATACTTTTTCCTCACTTTTCTGTGTTTTTAAAACATTGGGCAGAAAAATAAATAAATTATTTTCACTCTTCTTGAACAGATACATAAAATCCCATATCATTATTTTGTAGAGCAGATCAAGTGCTATAAAATGGTTTATTCACCATTTTGTATCCCCAATAGTTTCCAAGATAATAGCGAGGTTGAGGTCAAAGTTTTAAATGCAAAAACGTCTATGTCGGACGTTCAGCGCTGCTTTCCTGAAAGCCTATAAGTTTGAAAATGGTAAATAAAAACCAAAACCTTTAAACAATCCAGCAAATCGATGAGTTATCTTGTCATTGGGCGTTAAGGGGTTTTAATTAAAAACGCTTTCGAATGCTTTAAGTGATCATCCTCAGTTATCATTTTNTGAAGCAGTTAGCGATTGATGAGAGTGTAGAGTTTCCGAGAGCCTCAAAAATAGTATTGCGAGATTTCTATGTGGATGACATGTTGACTGGCGTAAACAACTCTGAAATGGGTAATGAACTGATTAATGAATTAATTCAATTATTAGATAGAGGTGGATTTGAGCTCCACAAATGGTTTACAAGTGAACCATCTATATTAAAGGATGTGCATAGCGGTTCGTTAGATGACATGTCTCATACAACTAGTGGAACTAAAGTGATAAAGATTTTAGGTCTAGAGTGGCATCCCAGAGAAGATATTTTCAGATGTAACTTCGAGTTCAAACATCATCAGTGCAAGTCAACTAAGCGAACAATTTTGTCATCTATTGCGAGGTTATTTGACCCATTGGGTTGGATTTCCCCCTTTGTAATATTAACTAAGATGTTACTCCAAGAAATCTGGAGGCTTAAACTATCTTGGGATGAACCTGTGCCTCCGTCTATTGATCATAATTGGAAGATTATTTGTAAGGAATTAGGACAGTTGAGGTCTATTCAAATTCCTAGAAAAACACTGCTACCTAATTACACGACCGTTGATCTACATGCATTTTGTGATGCATCAGAGAAGGGCTACGGAGCAGTTGTTTACGTGCGATCATCAGATGAATCTAATGTTTGGGTTAGACTACTAACATCGAAGACTCGTGTAGCACCGTTAAAACCTATTTCAATTCCAAGGATGGAATTATGTGCAGCAGTTTTATTAGTTCATTTGGTGCAAGCAATACAAGGTGCATTTCAGATTAAGATAAATTCTATATTTGCATGGAGTGATTCAACCATAGTGCTTTCTTGGTTAAGGGCTGATCCTTGTAGGTGGCAAGTATTCATCGCCAACAGAGTATCAGAAATACAATCTATTTTGCCTGCGGAAAATTGGAATCACATTGACGGAAACAAAAATCCTGCAGATTGTGCATCACGTGGTCTCTTACCTTCAGAACTTGTAGAACATGACTTATGGTGGAATGGCCCAGAGTGGCTGATGTCCAATGACATCCCATTCACCAAGAATATACCTATTTGTGAGGCAGCATTAAGGGAGGAGCGTAAACATGCTACTTGTAGTGTTAGCACAAGCATAGAAGAGCTGCCTGTCATTAGTAAAATATCATCATTTGTAAAACTTCAACGAATCTTGGCGTGGTGCCTAAGATTTATAACAAATGCAAAATTATCACCTCCTGATAGGATCTATGGGCATCTTACAACCAAGGAATTAAGAGAAGGTTTAATCTGCATCATCAAAAATGTTCAAACAATAAGCTTTTCGGAAGAAATAAAGTGCATTCAGTCTGGGAAATCGTTGCCAAAAAGTTCCAAAATAAACAATCTATGTCCATTTTTAGATAATGATAATATATTAAGAGTTGGAGGCAGATTGCAGAATTCCACCCTCAATTTTTATAAGAAACATCCTGCAATACTGCCTGCTAAACATTATTTGACTAAATGTATTTTAACCTACTTTCATAGGAAATATCTACATCTTACCGGACAGGCTTTATTATATCAAGTAAGACAGATGTTCTGGCCTTTAAATGGAAGATCACTCTGCAGAAAGGTTGTTCATGAATGTATTATTTGCTTTAAGGCTAAACCAGTTGTTTCTCAGCAACGTTTAGGTAATCTACCTTATGAGAGAGTGAACCAAAATTATGTGTTCAACTGTACAGGAATTGACTTTTGTGGACCATTTCTCATAAAATATAAGAATCAAAGAAGAGGTACGTATAATAAAATTTATGTGTGTATCTTTATCTGCTTGGTGACTCGAGCCATACATCTTGAAATAGTATCTGATCTCACATCTGATTCATTTATTGCAACATTAAAGAGATTTTTCTCGAGACGTGGTAAAAGTGCCAAATTATTTACGGATAATGCAAAAACATTTATTGGAGCCCAGGCAGAATTGAAACAATTGTACAATATGGTAAATAAGCCAGATGAAAAATTGGCTAGTTATTTGTCATCAGAAACCATTCAGTGGAACTTCAACCCCCCTAGAGCCCCAAACTTCGGTGGATTGTGGGAGGCAGGAGTTAAATCGTTCAAGTATCACTTAAAAAGAGTTGTAGGTGGTACAATCTTGACATTAGAAGAGTTTCTCACCATCACCAATCAAATCGAGGGAATTTTAAACAGTCGCCCCATTTCCCCGTTATCAGTGGATCCAGATGATCTTGAGGTATTAACACCTGCTCATTTCATTATAGGTAGACCAATTGACACGCTACCAGATATTGATCTCAAATCTCTATCAGATAATAGACTTTCACATTGGCAACGTGTAACAAAAATGACGCAAATCATTTGGAAACGGTGGACTAATACATATTTAAATAATTTACAACAACGGAATAAGTGGATGATTGAAAGAGAAAATATTAAAATAGGGACATTAGTCATTATCAAGGAAGATAATATACCTATCTTTAAGTGGTTAGTGGGAAGAATTACAGAAGTTTTCCCAGGGTCTGATGGTAAAGTAAGAGTTGTAAGTGTAAAAACAAAAAATGGTGTATTTAAACGCAGTGTATNTGGATACTCACTTTTGTTCCCAAATTGTTATTGAATTTTCACGTTCAAACTAATCGATTTTATCGTTTTAAAAAAATTAATAACGTAACTATTTTTACGTTAAATTGTATGTTTATTTTTATTTTAAAAATGTATAAAAATTCCTTGAAAACTTTTAATATTACAACAATAATAAATTGTTCCGAAGAGAATTCGCCTAACTCTGAAACAGTAAGGTAAACGTTTATTGTGGTAATGTCGCTTAAAAACTAGACAACCGATTAAATTCTGAAAATTGATTAATTATCGATCTCTAGAGAGTAAAATTTGTCATAGAAGTATAACTAAACACAATATACAAGCTTAGGTAATTACCGATATGTGGTCCAATGGACTTTATTGCCTCTGGGGTGACATTTCATGAATTACAGAGTACCACGCTCGAGTCCATTGGTGTGAGCCACCATCCTGTAATACAGTTTACAACTGGTGTGGAAAGCTATTTATCACATTGAAACATTTCTGTATCATTGTGATAATGTTTACTTTTCACAGACCATATCTTTGGGTAAGGGCGTGTATCTAACATTATAATATAATTACAGTATTACCGTACATTTCACTATATTTTCTACAACATCTTCCATAGTTTCTCGCTTGCAACACGATATCTTAACGACTAAGATAATAGTTCTTTTTATTATCTTTAATACATGGAGAGAACTTTTATTGTTTCAAGATACTTTGCGGATAAGGTAGGAAATTACATTAGCAAACACTAAATATAATCATTATTATCTCCTCTTTATATTTATGAATTAAACATTTTGTTTATGTAGGATCATACGCGATCAGACGTTAATTAAATAGAACTTAATATTTTTAAAATGAAGAAAGGAACTTCGAAAAATTTTATTTTATTCTACTGTAAAATTAAGAATTTAAAGTTCGTTTACGTGTTTTAAGTGTTAATTAAAACTAAAGTTTAGCTGATTGTCTCACATAACTTACGTAATAAAAGTATGAAATAAAAAATAAGTATATTTTTAATAAACCTTACATTACAAAAATGTAAGGTACATTTTATTAAAAGAAATCTTTTTATCTGAAAATACATTTTTGTGTTTTAACGAGCAATTATTTATTGTTACAATGCCGGGCTAATATTTTAATAATATTTTAATTTTAAAAAATCATATGACTTCCTGTCTAGCTCGGAAGTTTGCGTATAGTTAATAGTTAACCGGGCCTCATACCCCTAAGCTTTTTATATCTGATGTAAATTTTAGTGGCGTCTTACCCCTGTACGTCATACTTTTCCTCTTAAAGATGACTCGCATAACTGTATATTTCTAATTTCGTTTAAGAAAAAACATTTGAATTGAAATCAAATGTAGTTTTCTTATTGGGCTGCAATTTAAAAAAAAAATTGTAGACCTGAAATTCCCACTGTCGTCCGTTCGTCCTTTCGACTGTCTTTCCTTAATCTCGAGAACGGAGTTAGATAGATGACCAACACGACTCTATTCTTATCGGAAAAGTTTGAAATACATGGGCAAGACACTACTATGAGATCCAGAGCATATATTTTAAATTAATTAATTAAAAACATGATTAAAAATTGCAGCCAGGCATTGCGATGATATCACAATAAATAATTGCTCGTTGTTTAAGTAAAAATTAATGTTAATGTACTATTAAATGATTTAAAATGTCAGAAATCTTGTAGCTTTGTCAGCAAAATGTTTTAAAGAAAGTAAGCTGTAAGATTTATCGGATATTTTAATAAGTTACACAAATAAAATAATATATACGTGCAAATTGCATACTAATTTTATTTCTTTCCAAACATTTTCACGCCATTTCAATGAATGTATAGCATTATTGTAACTGTTTCAAACTTTATTACAATTCTCTTCGGTGAATACCTACAAACTTTAATGGTTGAAAGTAGTTTCGTTCGTCAGTAACAGCTTCCACACTTCAGATGTATTCGAAGTAGAAACCATTTAAGCGCTTTGTGATTACGCGTTAGAAACAGTGCGATCGAATTCCTTAGAGTAGAATTCTTGAGACTAAAGTTTTAAGTTTAAAAAATTTCAACGTAACTGATAGAGGAAATGGAGGAAAAAAACTATAAAATTATTTCCCACATCTCCTCCTTTCTTTCTTTTCTAAAGCTTTGTAAATTTGAAAAAAAAAACTTTTACAAAGAAATGATACTAAGGAAAGAAAATAAACTTTAAATCATTTTATAAAATTTAATAGTATAAAATTGAATGAATGTAAAATTTTATTTTGATATTTTAGCTTTTGTTTTATTCGATAATAATTTAAATACATTGAGAAAATATAATACAATACAGCCTACAATTAAATTTCGCTCATTAAAATGTAATATTATATTTATTAACCAACGATAAACGATAAAAGAATTGGTAGTTTCTTTATTTCTCAAAAATTAATGTTAAAGTGAAATTAAGAAATAAAATTAAAATATGACTAACGAAATTTGTATTAACAAAGGGATGTTCTGTATATTACATAACGCTATTTTTATGCTTTTCAATTAACACCCCACTTCCCAATAACAATTCGTAGCGCTGTCACACGTAATCACTTCCAAAATTATATAACGCTTATCTTCGATCAATCCCCCATATTGTATTAAGGAATATTTTAGTAATTATATGTATAACGTACAGACTATTGACATTGACAATACGGTTCACTACACAACCTTTTTACGTTCGTATTGGTTTTTTGTCGAAGTAGACGACGAAAGTTGTTGACATTAATTCTGCCAAAAAAATTACAGGTAATTTAATTCCTATTGTATATATATTTAAAGATCCTAGCATTAAGTAATATTTTTGTATACACCATAACTTTTTGTAACGCATGGTAACAATTACCTGCATACCTACCATCAAAATCTAGTTACGTAATTTATGAGCAGCAGCTAGAAAAGCGAGTTTGACAAGAATTATATTTAATAAAATGTAAAATATTAAAGATCTTCTTAATATTTTACTTACGAGTTAAGGATAGTTTTATTTTAAACAAACTAAGTAAATTTGTTTTAAGTAGAAATATAATTGTGGCTTTGAAATATCTTGAGTAAATGTAGAGTGCAAATACAATCAAGTAAGAATGCTTTTCTCCATTACTGAACACCAAATAGCTTCTTTCGAGTATCATAGTGGCAAAGTCAGTACAAGCTGATTTCAGAAATAACCCAATGACCTATACTTTCAAATGGTAAGCTACTCGAATTTCCTACTTTTTTGAATTAAATTAGAGTATAAATCATATAATGGAATGTTAGCTGATTAAAATAAAAATATTTCGACTTAAAAATAAGTTATAAATAGGAGCGAAGGAATTTTAAAAGTACACGAGTAAAAATTATTGCCACATCGACACAATGCCAGGCTGAAGTTTTTAATCATATTTTTAATTTATTTAATTTAAAATATATGCTCTCGATCTTAAATTACTAGTGGATTTCTCCTGTACATCATACTTTTCCTGGTAACAACAGAGTCATGCCGGTTATCTACCTAATTCTGGGGAAAATATTTAAATTAAAATCACGTGATTTTCCGACTAGAGCGGAAGTTCGTATATATTTAATCGAGGCCTCCTGCTTCTAATCTTTCCATATCTGGTCTCGATTTCTTCTATCTAATACCGTTCTTGACATTAAGGAGGAACAGCCAAACAGACGAACGACAGTAGTAATTTATAAGTATACATTTTTTTTTTTTTCAAATTGCAGCCCAAAAATAATATAAATAACTTATTAGAACATATGCTTAGATCTTATTTATAATACTCATTGTTTTAGATACAGTTTTGTATTAAGAGTGTTTTTAAAAGCACATATATATTATATTTATTTCTTCTTTTTTTGAACATAATATATAGATTTTAACTAAATGTGCCGCAAAATGGCATTAATACACAAATGGATTTTAAATCCATTTGAAAGCGTGATAAACTCGATTTATATAAATTCGTACGTATGTATAAGATATTTTAGATAAGTAAATAGCATATTTAAAATGTTTATGGTATAAAAAAGTATGTTACAGATAAATTTTCGAATTGGAATTATAGTTGAAAGATATCTGCGGTTAGAACGGGGCAAACGGAGCACTTTCCCACAAATCGAGTAAATATTTTAATAAATTATAATGATAAAAAGTGATTGAGATATGTAATTTTAATGTTATACCTCCGACCTTTGTCCATCTACACTACTGTATTCTGTAATCTACTTGTGAAAAGACCCAAAAGATTAGATAAAAATTTATGATGTAATTCTTTGTCTACAAGCTTTGCCACCTGGAAAATTTTCTGCATACGCCCATGGCTATTCATAAATCTTTTCAGAAAAACAGTTGATAGAATAATTATTAAAGCAATTTAGCATGAATACTGAATTGACGTGTTACTGTTTATGATTTGTAAGATGACATGCAACCAGTACTCTCTTGGTATTGCCATTAGGTAATTGCTTCTGAGTATGACAGAGTGTAACACATTGTAAATATCAGTTAGAGAAAATATCTCTTGTGGTATAGTTATTAGCTTGATTACTTCACTTTTGATACTTATTACTTAACGCTGATAAAAATCTTAAAATTTATTCATATCAACTATACAGGTAACTTAATTTAATGTAGTAAATTAAATAAGATCATAATCGCATTCAAAGTAAAGAAAGTTCAATAGATATTTTTTAATAAATACGAAACTTATGCAAATAATTAAGTTAAAACTATGCAAATAACACTAAAATAATTGATAATATAAAACATCTTTTTATATTTTTAAAAATTAATTTTATTTTGCCTTAATTTTGTAAAAAAAAGTAAAAATTCTAATTTAAAGTCTATTGTTAGATTTTTTTCCAGATACAATACAGTATTTCATAAATATAAAAATATCACATATTAAAATGATGTATAATCTGATTTAAAAACACTTGAAATTTCATCTTGTTCAAACATAATCGTGTTTAAGACATTAGATCTGAAATATTATGTT